GCCCTCTCCTGAGGGGGGGGGTCACACCCTAATGGGGGGCTCCACTCTTCTCCTTCTGCTCTGCCCCAACTTCTTGTCACAGTTGTTAAGTGAATCACTGCAGTTGTTAAACGAATCTGGCTTTCCCATTGGCTTTGCTTGTCAGAAGCTTGCAAAAAGGGGATCCCATGACCCTGGGACACTGCAACTGTCATAAATACGTCAGTTGTCAAGCGCCACAATTTTGATCACCTGAGTATGGGGGGGATGCTAGAATGGTCGTAAGTATGAAAAATGGTCATAAGTCATTTTTTCCTGGCGCCGTTATAACTTTGAATGGTTATTCATGGCAACTTTGAATGGTTACTAAGTGAACTTTTGTAAGTCAAGGACCATCCCTAAGGTGTTTCATCGGTCAAGTGTTATTGTTTTGCTTTGATATCTGCTTAGCATATTTTTTTTAATTTATATTTCGCATTTCTGAACCGCCCATCTCCCTCCAAGAGGGACTCTGGTTGGTGTACGGCAGAATAAAAAAGCAATATAGAAAAACCTTAAACGATAGAGTTAAAATTTTAGAATTATTTTTTTAAATTATTAAAAATGTTTTAAGGAGGCAAGAATAATTAAGGTCAAGGTTCCCCTCGTACATACGTGCTAGTCGTTCCTGACTCTAGGGGGCAGTGATCATCTCCGTTTCAAAGCCGAAGAACCAGCGCTGTTGAAGACGTCTCCGTGATCATGTGGCCGGCAGGCATGGAATACTGTTCCCTTCCCACCAAAGGTGGTCCCTATTTTTCTACTTGTATTTTTTATGTGCTTTCGAACTGATAGGTTGGCAGAAGCTGGGACAAGTAATAGGGGCTCACTCTGTTACCTGGCACTAGGGATTCGAACTGCCGAACTGCCGATCTTTCTGATCGACAAGCTCAGCGTCTTAGCCACTGAGCCACTGCGTCCCCAAGAATAATTAAAGCCTGTTAAAAATCAGTTGATAACGGTGAAGGGAGGGCTCTCCTGGCACCAACCAGCCCCATAATGGTGTTTTCCTTTGGGCTTCCCACGGAAGGCCACAAAACCACATGAAACCCTTTTTGGGAATGACAAGTTTATAGTTGCTGATTGGTGTCATCATTTACAACTTAGACGTCAGTCTCTTCCATGAGAGAATACTCAATCTTCCTCAGAATAACAGAGCTGGAAGTCTTCTAGTCTAACCCTCTGGTCAAGCCGGAGACCCACTAACAATCTGGACAAAGGATGGTCTGTTCTGTTCATCAACACCTCCAATGATGGAGCACCTACAACAGGGATGGCTAACCAGCTTGTCATCGTGTGCTGAAAGCGTGTGCCCACTCCCACAATGCAGTGCCTGCACAACACACACACACTGTGCTCCCCCGCTCTTCCCATGCATACCCGCTTGACCCCCCTTCCATCCCAAGCATGTGTGCATGTCTCCCGCATGGTCCCGCCCCCCCATGCATGCACGGCAGAGACTCGAAAATCAGCTGGCCGGCGGGAGGTGCATCCATCTGCGGGTGGAGCTCAGCAGGGGCGATGGCTTGCCTGCCCGCAGAGAGTGCTATGCATGCCACCGCATGCTACAGGTTTGCTATCATGGGCTTACATGAAGCAAGCCATTCCACTAGTTAATTGTTCTCTCTGCCGGGAATTTTTTCCTTATTTCTCGATCAGTTCTGTCCTTGGTTAGTTTCCATCCATTGCTTCTCGTTCTGCTTTCAGGTGTTTTGGACAAGAGGTTGACCCCCTCTTCTTTGTGGCACCCTCTCAAATATTGGACCACTGCTATCCCGTTGCTCCTAGTCCTTCTTTTCATTAGACATTTTACTTACTGAAAGTTTCTCTGGACTGATAGGATAAAACTGTATGATTTTTCTGTTCTTGGTAGGGAAGCCTCCTTCTTGTCCCTTCTGTTCTCCTATGGTCAACGGAGCAGAACGTTCCCAATCAATCAGCTTTGTTACAATCAGAGACCAGGTCAAAGCATCAGTACAAGGCTTCGGATAGTCATTAAAAGCAAAAGATACGAGCTGCATAATATTCAGTAAAATCGATATAACGGACAGTAAGATATCGTCAGAAAGAAGGTGCCCACAAGATGTCTTATCTTCCCACATTCTGAAATCCCCTTTGTTATGTACAGTTTATTAAGAATGTTTATAGGGGGAAAGATAAAAACAAAGAAAAAGAGAGAAAGCGATGGGGAAAGCAAAACAGCAAAAGGAAGAAAAAGAGATATAGATACGGTTCGAAAATATGAACAACCTTTAACCTTCTTTTTCTTCTTAAATATTACAAAAATCCCTTCCGCCCCTTATTTTCAATCCTTTTCCAGACATCAAATCCAGAAATCATTCCACTTTATGCAATTTGCAATGTAAAAAGGTGCACTAGTGTGCTATGTTTCCACCTGAAAGTGCCCCCTACATCTTGAAATTCCTTTCCTTAGAACCTCGGCTCCTGTACATTTCTAATATAAAATACTTGCAAAAGGGAAATAAGAAAAGTTTTGGTGTCTGCTCTTTACCGCACAGGCTCTCCTTCTGCTGTTTACAAAGACCCCATGATCCTTGTGGGGCCTGAGAACCTGACTCTGACGGTGCATCAGACTGCCATTTTGGAATGCATTGCAACTGGGAATCCCAGGCCTATCGTCTCGTGGAGTCGACTTGGTAGGTATCCAAACTTTCTCTTCTCTTGGCGGGAGAGCTTGGTTATTACTTTGGTCCGATTAGAGGATCTCCTGCTATCTTATTCTTTGATTGGACAAAGAGTTTGCCTCGTATTCATACTTGATATTGAAGTCGGCTGCATGTAAACATCTGGATTTAAGATGCATAGAGAATGTTTTTATTTATTGTTAGACTAGCTGATAACTTGGCATTGTCTGGGTATTTATTTATAGGGGGAAAATGTCCGGACCAAACATAATTTCTAATGTTGGATTTTCCCCCTTATCAGAGGGAGCCCCCTTGTGGAGTACTGTGAGGCCATTACCATGGCAATTCCACTGCGCTGTACAGTAGAATCCATTTTACAGCGGTACAGTAGAAGCCATTTTAAGGCACAACAGGCTATATCTTAACAGAACACACATTCCAAGGGGTGATAGGGGTGTCTTACCCCCACAATATTTTTTTCCAGAGAGTAAGTCAATTGCTCAAGGCATTCTAGAGTTATGCTGGAACAGACACAGACAGACAGACAGACAGACAGACAGACAGACAGACAGACAGACAGACAGACAGACAGACAGACAGACAGACAGACATACATACATACATA